GTTTAGTTGCTTAAGCATTCAAAATTCATACTGTGTCATTTGCTCTGATAAACATAATCTCGGATCGACGTAGCAGAGGCGGATGGCGGCCTAAGCCAAGGTGAAGTAAGGTAATAAGTATCTTCCTTGGCGGTTTTGACCTGTTTTTGTTTGCGGCGCTGTTCGTTTTAATCTTTAAAGAATTTCCCCGACGTCTGAGGGAGACGAGTGCACGATTCCAGAACTCATTTCAGATGAGGTGTGGATTTTGTTTTCATCCGGGCTGCTTGTTGAAAGTGCCATTCATGTTCATCCGTTTTTTCTGCTTAACAGACGTGTCTCTGTTCTTCTAGTAACGGTTTTCTCAGTTTCTGCTGTGATGCCTCCAGCAGTAAAATTTTAATTTACATACCCAGCCTAGAAAGTTAATTTTCTTATAATTACGTCGAAACACGTAAGTTCACAATTGGAACGTTCATTAACTAATGAATTAATTTTTTTCTTTCTCGTTGCTAGCCATGGGATCAGAAGTCTTAATCGCCTCCAGTCATGCACAACGTAATATCATTGTGAATTTCAAACGTCACCTGCTTGAATGGCAAAAATAATCCAAATATATCTTCACATAGTTGGACCTGGTTTAATCTGTTGGGCTGGCTACCAAAACTGGACCGTCAAATATGCGAAACATTAATCCATCGAAAGCAGCGTTATAATTTTATGAACAACTGTTTGGAATTTCCTGGAAGGACCTCACAACCAATGGATCGGTTTTAATTCTCTTCTTTGTCCGCTGCTCAATGTCCAACAATGTTGAGTTTGAAATTGTCCCCAGTTCTCTTACTATGACGTTTATTCATTATTGAATAATTGCCTTGAAAATTTCTAATTTCATTTGAAAACTTTCAGGCTGCAAACGACCAGGAAAAATGTCGACAAGCTGTCAAGTCCATTTCGTCTGGAGGCATTTCTTCGAAAAACTTCATGACTTCGGACTGAAGTGTCATCAGTTATTCGAGTGTATTTCCTATGAGTATAAGGTTCAAGCGTACTTTTACCGTCTGACAATTTTCCGTGTTCTGTCTCATGGCGATCATACGGCATTGTTTGTAAATAAACGTTCGTTTTTCTATATTGCAGATACTTCAACCTCCTGCTGCTACAAATTGGTCCGTTGAACCATCATTTTCATTATTATGTTTACGCGGTACACTTTTATAATAATATAATTGT